TGTAAGAAATAAGTAATTATTCGTTTAGTCAGTGAACTGTGTCAGGATAAGAATTCAGGATTTGTTTTCTTACGTTTTCAATTTTATACTTTACTAGAATAGACCTGTATTCTGCGCTGGTAATATAAATTCTATAACCGGTAATTAAAGTGTCTGTAAATTTTTAAACCTTTTTCGCATTCTGTGCTCTCTTGTAACCGGTAAATTTGGTAACAAAATATTGCCCCGTGAAATATGCAATACAGGAATTTCCACAAATCTTCATAGCTGAGTAGCTGAATATTTTCACTGCATTACCAACGTACCTTGAATCGCGGTGACAAGAAGTGGTAACATTTTTTTGGTAATAAAATTTTCCGGTCACAAAATCTTCGGTAACATGCAGAATAGACCTGTTAATGTAAACAAAATTTCTATCAGCTGTTCGTCTAACTTGCAAGTTTCTGCAAATTTTCTGTTCGCGTACTATTTTGGATATTTTTCTCTTGTGAGAGAACAGATGATATTTCGCCGGAATTTCGCTGTTGGACATTTTTTACTGGAGATTATAAACGAACGTATCTATTGACTATCCAACATTTAACAGAATTATTACGAACGGCTTTAACTGACCTAAAACCAGATTTTGAAAATCTCGCCAAAGGGATCTTTTGAATTTTCTTTTATATCTGTCTTACGTACAATAAAATAATAATAAAATTAATGTTTTGCATTTCTAATAATAATTTTATTTAAAAATAAAATTTTTGTTTTTCTTGTTTTTTGTGGCTCTTTGTAGCATTTAGAACTTAGATGTGGCTCTTTTCGGCCTCGGCCTTGCCCACCCCTGCTATATACATTTTCATACAAGGCAGGATTAAACAGTATTAAAAATATGCTGCAGAAACACAACAGCAAACAACAGCTGAGCTAAGAAGCAATGATATGCTATAACAGTATGTATGTGCCCCTACGTAGCGACGCCCATGTACCCACAGACGAGGAGGAGGCGCTCTTATCGTCACAGCAGGAGGAAGCTAGTACTCCTAAAAGAAAAACTCTCTGGAGCAGGTAAAAAGCGCTACAAATTCTACCTCTCCAGAGGTGTCAGCGAAAGCGATGCCAAACGGCTTGAATTTATCACTAAGAACAATTTATTTATCCTTAACCGGGGTAATGAGCCGACCTTTGTCAATGCCACGATCCAGAAAATAAAGGTCGCGCCATTCGCGGACCGCCAACCCTCTCTTCGTCGATTTGACAGCATCCACCTAATCGCTGACGTCATAAAATACTTTTGTTTACATTCCCCGTTGCCAACTTCATGCTTTTCGCACCAAATTTAGTGGGTATTCAAAACGCGAAAATTTTTGAGTTTGGTGCTTGGCGCGTTTTTGGTGCTTTTGTTTTTAGTTTGAAGACACCAAATTAGAAAATCTTAAAAAAATGGAAGCAAAATTTATAGCAATCATAAGTGTGGTAAGCAACTTTACAAAAATTTAAACAAAATCATGGCACAGTGACAACCATAAGCGACAACAAAATATGTGGCAGCACCTTCAATCATGCCAGAATAAATCAACCGTCGTGCAAGAAACATTGATTTTTATTAATTTGGATCGGCATCCTTACAATAAAATTATGTATGCATATAAAGTCTATTAAAAACACCAATAAAAATTTGGTGCTTTTCCAAATTCAAAACTTGGCAATACTGCCTTTTGTCCGATGCTTCCTCTTTTTCTTGTCGAGTTCGTCTTGCTCTCTCATTCTGGTATTTATTGACGTTACGGCCAGTTGCTCTCAGCTCGATTGGCGCAATCTTGTATTCTATCATTCTTGTGTCAATGCTATAAGAGGGGAGGTTCTAGACTTGACAATTTCCTCAACTAGCTTGTCGACCTTTATCTCAAACTGGCATGTCTCAAATGAGGTATCTATGTCGGACCACCGGCATATTCGATTCGATATAGAAGCACAAAGAGTGACAAACCATATTTACAGAAATCCCAGAAAAACAAATTTCACATAGAGCGGGAAGTGAATGGTTCTACGGCACCAATTTCATCCGTCTATGAACTTGAGGACGAGGCGAAAAAGTTCCAAGATGTCCTCAAACAAGGTTTGGAAGAGAGCTGCCCACTGAGAACCAAGAAGTCTCAAAGGGATGTCCCTTGGTGGAACGATTCTCTCGGAAAACTAAGGAAAATAGCCAGGAAACTTTTCAATAGGGCAAAGTCAACAGGTGACTGGACCGCCTACAAGTCAGCCCTAACCGCTTACAACTGTGAGCTC